CCACAAATTCTACTGAAAATTGCACTGATATAATATTGTAATTATTAATATTGCTCTAAACTATTAATTTAAAAAGTTTCATAAAAATAGATGTTTATTAAGTATGAAAACTAAATAATATTCTTATTGATTCAGTAAATTTTATTTAAGAATAATACAATAAGATTTTGAAAAACTAACTGCTTTATTTATCTTTTCAAGACAGAAAAGTTTATATTATTATATCTATTCATTTAGCCATTACATGATAATTACATTAAAAGTCATTTCAAAAACATCTTTGTTTGAAAGATGTTTCAGCAGTTGAAGATTATTTCTAAAATAAAATGCAATAAAATGTGTAATGAAATGGACTCTTCCTAGCTTGAATAAATTGGAGATAGATGTTTGCACAGAAGAGAGCAACAACATTAAATTCACATAACTGTTCATTTGTAATAACTTAACAATATTCTCAAATTGTATTAACTTTATGAATGTTAAGAAAAAATTATTTTATTTATAATAGTGATTATTGTTAAAATCATTCTTAAATTATTTTTATAATTTAAAACAAAATAAAATTACTTTAGTTTGTATTTTTAAAATATAAAAATCAACAATGAACTTTTATTCATTTTAAAATTGTACAAATTACATAAATTTGTTGTTTAGACAGTAAAGTAATATTTAATAATAATTTAACAGAAACAGTATTTAAGAATAATGACTTTGGTACAAATAATTTAAAGTGATTTGATTTTGGTACCAAGTGATCATAAATGATGTATTTAAAGATATGAAAGATTTTTCTTTTCAGAAGTTACTGTAACATTCTGCTAGAATACCACAAATACCTTTGTAAATTCAGTAAGATATTTAATATACATGGGTCACTTGTAAGTAGTCATGGCAAAATATTTTTTCTGCAGAATCCCATGCCACAGTTCACATTTTCCACAAACAACTATGACATTAATACATATTATTGCACAATAATGCTGCTAGATGGTGTGGATGTTCCAGAACATCGACAAAAATGGAGTGGAAAGTCAGTTGGTTTTTGACCATCATTCAGTATGGATATGAGTCAAATGGAACAGATGCATATGTAAAAATTGCACTGCTTTGAAGGCAAAACGTGAAGAAATGTCACGCACAGCTCATAGAAGCTGTCAATGAGCATGTTCTCCCATACAGAACTGTTGCAAGGTGTGTGGCAGCTTTTGAACATGGAAGAATAGCAACTGCTGACATGCCTCACACCAGACACCATAGAACTGTTCATATCAATGTTGCTCATGCCATGATCATCCAATGCTTAGAGGATGACATGCAATGGTCTCTTCAGGAGTTGGCAACACAAACAGGTATTGACCAGGCAACTGTGCATAAAATTTTACAAAACAATCTGCACATGTGCAAAATTTCTGCCAAATAGATGCAACATGAATTGACACAACTTCAAAAGTGGACATATTATGAAATGTGTCATGTGAACCTGAAACAATATGAACACGAACTTTGCAAATATTTTCAAAAAGTGATAATTGCATATCACAAAATTAAAATATTAAACTATAACGGATACCCAGTTTATCGTAAAAGTACTGCCAAACTTATAACCAACTATTTTTCTTCCTTAAAGTTTATGCACATGCTTTTAATTTCAGATTTGTGAATTCCAATGCTTTCAGAATTCTGAGTTGGTTGTACTGCTGGGATCATGTGATTACAGATGCATTTTTTGAGATCTATGTGCATGTGATTTTCTGTTAAGGTGTCATAAGGTGTAAAGACAGAGTAGTGGTATGTTTTTTGTGATCTACACCATACTGCAGTTCTTGTAGCCTCTTACTGATAGAGCAATTGACCTGATATATTCTAGGTCTTTTTTGAATCTATTGTCCCTCACCTGGAAGGTAATGTCTAGTGTTCTGCACTCATCAGCCTCATCTTTCCTATTCTTCTTAATAAATTAATTCATCTACTGATAATTAACTCCTCTGAAGTTGCTTGCTCTCATCTAGGCCTACCAGACATGTTCAAATGTATTGATTATTTCAACCAAATTTTCAACTACAAATATTTCAATGGTCTGCTTCCATCACACTACATTAATTAATATATGTAAATACAAGACAGCTATCATGTATTGCTGTCCTTTTCTGCCATCTTAACGTTATAATTTAATCATTTTTCTTCTGCTACCAGAAGGCAATCAAAAAAATTAAATATAAATTGTATTTTAATTTCCATAGATTCAAAGTTTTATGTAAAAGAAATTTATATTCTTCTTATTAATTTTCTCTATTTTTAACAGATATTGTTGTTTAATTGTTATTTAGGGGTGGTTACACTGTTTTCTTTGCAACATCATTTGTAAAAGTATAAATAAATATATAAATAATACAAAAAATTTGATAACATATTTATTGTCTTTGTGTACACTTAAAGTTATGTAAAAAATTTTTAAATTTTATATCTTGTTCTACACATTCCAATTTTAGAACAGTAATTTATCAGTATATATATTTTTTGTTTTTATATTAAATATCTTAATGGATTTACAAAGCTATTTGTGGTATTCTAGTAAATTACAAATATCCAGTTATAGGATGTTGGTATAGTAATGTTTTGCAATTTGCAGATCATGTGTTAAAAATACCTTCCAACTTCCACATTATAGACAAATGTTTATAATATGCAATAGTTTTTCCATGTCAAAAAATGGCTCTAAAATAATTTTACTTTTTGTTATTTAAAAAGTCTTTCTGACATGATAAAATGTGGTGAGGTATCTTGCTGTTTGTGTGTCTGGTGATAACATAAGACAAAGGTGACAGTGGAATCATTTACCTCTAACAAATGGAATTTAGTGTTACTTATGTATACATTGGCTCTCCAATAAATAAAGCCAATCCTTAACATTAACATTTGTCAAAGAGACATATATATGTAAGATTAAAATTTTTGTTTAAAATATATGTTTGAGTTTATCTTAAAATGTTTTAGCTTAAATAATAACAATTAACACAGACTGACCAAGAAGACAATGTCTTTATGACATAAACACGACTCTTCACTATTGATATGGAGAAAGTCTGTTCCGGTGACAAATAATAATATATTTTCACATTTATCAAGCCACCAATAAACATCTCTAAGCCAATCTTTGTTTAAAATATGTTTTAAAAGGTATTTTTAGAGCTACAATTTAATAATGATATTTTATTAAATTAATATACGAAATTTGTATAAACATCAGGAAGACAACTGCATTCAAAGGAACCAAAAATTATATTGAGGAAATATCATAAATAAAATTTAACAAATTATAATATAAATAATAAAACTTAATTTTTATTTATTTATTTATTTAAATTCATTATTAACTCAATTAATAATGTTACTCAATTAATAAAATTACTAGTTATTGTTTATTGCCCATTCCAGTACTTCATTTAACATTAACTATTATACCATATCATTAGTGAATGCAAACCATTTTTTTTGACTCAAAGATAATATTCTTAATATACCAGTTTCAGCTATTTTAAGTTGGAAGGCTGTAAATCAGGGACTGACTTATTAAAAATAAGTATTCATTATTTTGGAGCTGGTGCACTTATAGGATAAAAAATAATAATACACTGGTAGCAACATCACCTGTTTTGAAACATTAGAAGGCATTGTTAAGATGCATGTTGCACATGAATAGCAGTACTCCAAAATTATAGCAAATATTTAGAATGTGCCTTCCCCCATGCTTAGAAGATGGTAAATAGACATGAAATGCAGACAAGCACAAAGGATAAAATGTGGGCAACTGTCTGCTATGAATAGGTACTATACATGGCATATCTGGCATTTTCATTTTTCATTTTCATTTCATTAAATTTATTAACATAACTTTTGTTATATGCCTGATATCGCATAGCATAATCAGGTGTTACATACAGAAATTACACATTTACAATAATTACATTGCAGAACAGTCATATGTATCAGTTGTACAGTGAATGGAGAGGGAATAGATAAATGTAATAAAATTAACAAAAGTAACGTACAAATGACAGTATTTAAAATACAAAATATTAATTATATATAATTGCTGCCAGAGCAACTTTTACAATTAAAATATAACATGTAGTACAGCAGAATTGAACATAATTAATTGCAGTTAATATAAAACCTGTAACACCGGTATCGTACACAAAAAGAGATTTGAAAAGAAAATATTAAAAGATATGTTCAGGATATAATGTTATCGTAGTTGGTTAAACACCTATGTAACAATAAATGCTATAAATATCACAACAGTATTACAATGGTACAATAAAAATTGCAATGAAATACAGTAGATAATCACAAGTATACATTACAAACACCACTAAAGTTTTGCATGCACAATATGAAAGAGCGAGATGATAGGAGAAAGTTACTCTTATGTCACAAAAGTTTTGCATGCATCACAGATAAATACAAAATACAGATAAATACAAAGTAGAACAAAGTAGCAGAAGGTAGGTTTTCTCCCAACCACTATAGCAGTGTAACGCAGATAACCATAACCGCAGAAAACCAGAGCCACAGATAATATTGAGCACATGCATATTTGAAGAGCATTTCTAACATGAGCCGGTGTGTAACACAGATAACCAGGTATCCACTGAAAACTTCATGTGGAAACTTCATGTGAGAACTCCATGCTAAATATGAAGACACAGCGTGTCTAACCACAGTGAAATCCTTAAAATAAAATGAAAGTCACTTCCAGCGCTACAAAGTGGTATTGGTGGATTACGGTTGTAGCCAAAATTAAATATATGTCAAATTACGATTTGACCACAAAAGATCTTCAGATTTAACAGTGACGACATAAAGCACATTAAATACACAATCGATTACAATGCAGAAGAATAAATAAACAGAGCGGGTAAGAAAATAAAGCCATACTAAAACATAGTAATACCAATGTAAATACACAATGGAGGCAGAACTCAAGATATAGTAGTGACCTGAAAATATTTTTCAATTAATTGAAAAAGTAGGTCATGAGTTTCCTTGTCAGAAGTGAGGTCATGAATTTCACAAGGCCAAGGACGATTATTACTATTCAGGAAAGTGCGCAAGTGATGCCTTTCAATTTCAGTCATGGGGCATTCAAAAATATAGTGATAGCTGCTATCATTAATTCCACATACAGGACAAAGTTTGCTATTATGTGACGTAAAGCGACTGAGATAAGAATTGAAACGGCCATGGCCAGTGTAGAATTGTACAGTATGATGAGTAACTAAGATCCAAGTATTATGCAAAAATTTTAAAATATTGGGGAAAAATTGCTTAGTAATAGATATGTTATCATCCCAATCACGTTGCCAGTCCATAAGCATATCTTGACAAAGTATCTCTTTCAGTACCTTTGTAGAGATCTTGTTGTAACTGACGACAATATTCTGGTCAACAGCAGCTGTCTTGGCTAGATGATCTGCTCGATCGTTACCCCGAACTTCACTATGTGAGCGTATCCATTTAAAGTAATAATCGTTATCAGAATCAACTAATATACGTTGAATATAAAAGGCCAGTGGATGATCAGATAATTTTTTAATTGCGTTAAGTGAGGAAAGAGAGTCAGTTATTATCATGATTTGAGTATTGTTAATAACCCGTTCACACCAAACAACCGCCTGCAAAATAGCATAAAGTTCAGCCTGGAATATACTACAAAGAGGGCCAAGTCGGAATGATTCACAGTAAATTTCTATTTCATTGCGGTAAACAACAAAACTGGCGCCAACATTATTTTCGTACTTAGATCCATCAGTAAATATAGTAATGGCACAACTAGCAGAAGTTTCAATGTACCTGTTGTTAGTGTAAGGGCTTAAAGTATGTTGAAAGGGTATATTTTCTTCCCATGATTCCTCTATAAAATGCTCAGAATGAGAGGCAGGGAATCTCCCCTTTTTATTTTGCAAAGTTTTTGTAAATAATTAATATACTTATCAATAGGAGGCTTACGTGCAAGCAATTGTAAGCTCGCATGATGGCATATCTGGCATTGTAATCGATAAGTGCCTGGTAAAGGTGTATATACCAAATGTACTGTCAACACAAATGGTGTAATGCTGCGAACAATTCCATGATGGCCACAAGACTGACAGAGACAAGTATGACCATTGAAGAGAATAACACTGCAAGTAGAAGTCAGAGACAGGTGACTGTGGAAGACACTACTGCAGAATTTGATGTTGGCCAAACCCAGGCATACAACATGATATGTGATGAACTAGATTACTATAAAGTGATGGGTGCCTTGGCAGCTCAGCATCAATCACAAGACTACCAGAATGGACATCAGCCTGTGACTTATGTTGCAATTTTGTAGGCCAAACTGCACTAAAACATAGATAGGTAGGACACAAATATTTTGTACATTCCATATATATTTCTATCATTTCTATCATATTCCTATTTCTATCATTTATAAGTAATGCATCAAATACATTTGTGATACAAATTAACATGTGCCACAGGCTGGACTTGAACTGGAGGTTGTGGTTTGGACATCATTGATATAAATGATCATTTATTCTGTACTAAACATTTTAATTATAAATACTTATTATAATAAATATATGCATAAAAGCATATATTACATTTTTGCCATTACTATTAAAAGATTTCAGAAAGAGATCTAAATCTCACTAGGCAACATTTTATGCTTAAAAATATCTGACAAACAATTATCAACTGAACGTTGGAGAGGTTTGAGAAACATGAAACTGCAGAGTATCGAAAGTCTACTGGGTGACCTGCAAGCATAGGAACCATTAAAGTTACACGTGCAGTAGAATGCATATTCAAATGAGACCCGAGACATCATTGAGAACAGCAGCTGCAAAACTGCTTGTAGGGTATTTACTACAAAACTTGGTCTTGCAGTAAGTAACCTACATGACATAAAGGTTAAGAAGTTAGGCATCATTGTCCACAGAAAGAAACCAGCTCCAAAGTACAATCTGGAACAGGAACATAGAGCAAAAACTAATTTCTGAAAACTTGATGTTCAGCTACATATGGAAGAAGAAAAAGTAATGGTGCTAGATAACGAGACATATTTTCTTGAAGACCCAAACTAGTGCCTGGAATAAAATTCTATCATTCCACTAACAAGTGAGATGTACTTCATGAAGTTAGGTTTATAGGAAACTAAATTTCCAGAAAAGTACTTAATATGGCAGGCAACTGATGAATACAGACATATGTCTCAACCTTTTATTTATTGCTAATCTATCAATGCTGATATTTACCTCAAAGAGAAAGAGTGCATTAAAAACTACTTAATTCCTTCATCCAAAAACACCTCTTCTTCTTCTTCAGCTTTTCCCACACTATGTAGGGTCGCTGTTTCTGGTGAGTCGTCTCCACTGCTCCCTGTCCTGGGCTGCCTCCACATTCAGATGCTTTTCTCTCAAGTCCTCCTCCACAAGATCCATCCACCTTTTCCGCGGCCGTCCCAGCCGCCTCCAACCCATCACCCTCATCTGCATAACCCTTCTTCCCACATACCCTTCTTCCCTCCGTACCACATGACCAAACCACTTCAACCTCGCTTCCTGAATCTTTGCTTCTATGTTCACAACTTTCACTGTCCCCCTCACACATTCATTTCGAATGTGATCCCGTCTCATAACCCCACACATCCAACGGAGCATCCTCATCTCCGCCACCTCCATCCTTTTGACATGGGTTTTCCTTAAGCTCACAGTCTCAATAGCGTACAGACTGAGAGCTTACATATGTCTCAACCTTTTATTTATTGCTAATCTATCAATGCTGATATTTATCTCAAAGAGAAAGAGTGCATTAAAAACTACTTAATTCCTTCATCCAAAAACACCATAACACTGAAAGTGTGGTGTTCTGCCCAGATCTAGAAACAGCCCATTATGCCTGTAAAGTTACTGACTACCTTCAAAGTACTGAGCTTGAGTTTGTGAAAAAAGAAAACAATGCCCCAATGTAACCCAAGCCAGTCTCATTGAGAGATTTTGGGCATTGTGTAAACAGCAATATACCTCCCATCCTTGTGGATTAAAGAACTTGAATTCATTCAAATGAAATTGAAAAAATATTGCTCAAAAAGTTGGGAAGTCTAGCATGGAGCTCAGGCAAATCTGAATCCAGGTAAATTTGAGATGTATAGGACATCACAATATCTATGGACCATTACTTTACAAAAAGTAAATCTGAACTATCTGGACTATCCTTGAACAAAATTGATCTTTGTACCTTCATTTGTTTTATTCGGAAAGTAATTTCATTTTTTTCCATGGAGAAAAAAACAATATTTTTATAACAAATAAATATTTTATTGAATTATATATCAACCATTTTGGTCAAATACCTGTTGTCATCATTTCTGGTAGTAGCATGATTTCACATTCATAAAAGTTTTGATCGTTGCTTACAAAAACTGATCCAAGTGATTTTTGACATTGTCATTTCAAGTAAATGTCTTACAGTTAAAAAAAATTTGTATAGACTGGAACAAGTAATAATACGAGTGTGCTCGATCTGGCAAATATGGTTGGTGTGATAGCACATCCCATCTAAGTTATAACAGTTTCTGAAGAGTTACCAAATTTGTGTGAAATTTGACACTATCGTGGTAAAACACTACACCTGTTTTGTTGATCAATTCTGGCCTCCTTTTCTGTTTGATGATATTCTCAATTTGTTTACTCAATGCCAGTACACTTTCGAATCAATTGTTAAATTGTCTGGTAAAAGCTCCAAAAAAAAATTTCCTTAAAATCCCACCAAAGAGAGCATCTCTCTTTAAGAACATGTGGAACCCATATATCAAGCTTTGAGACAAAACCAATTTGTTTCAAGTAATCATAAACAGTTCAATTTGATAAATTTAATCTCTTAGTGATTTCACGTGTTGTTATTCGGCAGTTTGCTTCAATCAGTACCTTTATTTTGTTTTCAATGCCTTTGTCTGGCCATCCAGAACATGGTGCATTTTCAATATTGAAATTGCCAGAACGAAATTTTGCAAACCACTTTTGGCACTGTCATTCTGTCAATACATCTTCTCCATACACGTCACACAATTTTTTTCTTGCTTGAACAGCATTCTTATCTTTTCAGTAATAAAAGAGCAAAAATATGCCAAAAATGCTGCTTTCAATCTTCCATATTTGATAGGACACAAAAAATAAACAATTGCACAAAATCAAACAAAATTTTTTCAAATAAGCCTTAAAATGCTAGCTGTCAAAATATATAATGATAATACGGTTTAGAATGAAAATGGCAGGAAAAATACGACTAATCCGTCTAGTGGTAAAAAAAAATGAAATTACTTTCTGAACAACCCAATAGTAAAACAGTATCAATTAAAAGAGATTCTTTCATTTCCAAACAACACTTGTATGTTAAAAAGTCAGGAATTTTATAACACAGATATAAATACTAACAGATCACAATACAACAAAACAGTTGTTTTTAATAGTTACACTTTTATTTTGGAAACTGACACAAATGACACATGCTTTGACACAGCTTTTACAAATGACAAGTATCATATTTACTAGGGTTGGACAAACTAAATTTTTTGGTTGAATAATGATTAATTACTTGTAAGTCACTGCTGCCAAATATCAAATACTGAATATTCTTGCCATTCTTGACTACCAAATACTTCATATTTGGCTGAATATCAGCTAATTTATTTAAAACTACATCAAACAAATGGCTTAAGCCTGGTACTCACATGCAGAAAGGGCCATTTCTGTCGACAGAATCCATTGATAAAAATGGCAAGCTAAAACTTGCTGTTCTGTCTTCTTTCCATGTTGTATGTACTCACATGTGGAAATTACCGTACAATTGAAATGCATGCTTTCTGCCAGCCATAAGTATAAACAACTACTACAGTAGGTAGGCCATGTGCCAGTAGTTGAAAATGATGCCTATCAGGATTGCTTTGTTATATCAATTAAACTTTCTAAGTTTGTCTATGATTTTATTGCAAATAAAAAAGCTCAAAAACAAAGAATTTGGATAGGAAAAATATTCAAAATCGTTGAAAGTTAGAAATATCCAATACTTTTGAACTTGAATTACAATTACGCCATTCCGAATACTTTACACAGTAAGTACATCTATTTGGCATTAATATTTAAATCAGATAGTAATATAGCATATAAATGAAATATATTAGCTTATTAGTATATAAATAAAGCATTTTAGCCTTGCTGACCATCATAGTTCAAATGCTATTGTCCCACATGATCTTTGTGACGACATTGCTAAATGGCCTTCCTATTGGTCTAATTTTTACCATTCCACTTTCAGTGACAGCAAAAGTTGAAAATTTTCAACTTCATATTTTGTCAGATTTGATGGCAAAAGTGACATCAATTTGCCATTCTGCTGACAGCTTCTATCATCCGTTTTCACATGTGAGTGCCAGGCTTTCAAGTAAGGTGAATGAAAGCATCTTCTATTTAATAAGGAAGATTATATAAATTTTTATTTTAAAAAAATTATTATTAATTATGAGGAAAAGTAAAAAATTAAATCCTGCCATTAAGGCTCATTTTTGGCAGACCACCAAGTAGTGTATTTAGTGAATGTACAGTATATTCAGTGAAGCTGAAAGTATTTATGATGACCAACAAAATCACTTATTTTCTATGAATGTAGAAGCATTACTGTTCTTTAATCATAATTTATTACTCTTGAATTACGATTATTAATAAATAATATTTGCTCAAGATCATTTATTAAAGTTATATTTGTTTTGGAAATGAATAAATTACAATATTTTCAAATATCTAAGCTTTTAAATACTCTTTTCATTCTATAGATACTTTGTGTTTCATTTTTCTTTTCTCTCTCTCCCCCAAGTAAAATGAGATTTTTTGGCTAAACAGTTTAGCTTTGAGAAAGTATTTTGTTCAAATACTGAAGGTGTGTTTAGTATTCACTCAAATAACAAATATTTATTCTGTGGCTGAATATACCCACATACTGAATAATATCAAATATTCAGTCCAACACTAATATTTACATTACCATCATAACAATAACAAAAAATAATATACATATGAAAATATAAAAAATTATGTTGTCTAATAAAACATCTAATTTGTATTTATTAATGTTTTATCTATAGTAAGAGAAATCTTTAAATTTTTAAACAATCTTCTATAGTGCTTATAATATTTACATTATAGAAAGCAGTACTTAAATAAATATGTTTTGAAATTGTAAGTAATGGAATCTGTAACTATTCAGAATAATTAAAAATAATCCTATATAAATAATTTGAAAATCAATAAAATTAAAGCTTTCCCAAATCTTTTAATCTATTTCTTAATAGGTAGTATTTATAGAAAAAACTAAAAACTAAGAGAAAATATGCAAATCGATAATGTATAAGAAACATTAAAACTGTATTCTTTATAATTAATTTATTTTACTATAAAAGAACATACTAAAATTTCAAATTAAAGCTACTTACTTTACATTTAACCATTCTATTAACCTTTTTTATTTTGGCTTCACAAAATGCACCTTTATATTTTGCACTGACATCTGTCCCAACAGTCAGGTACGGTGGCTCATCAGCTGCCTTTATAAAGAAATAAGATTAAATTTAATATATTTATTAAATATTAGTTATTATATAAATTTTATTTACATACAACATCAAATTTTTTATAAATCTTTGTTAATTATGAAATAGTTTTTTTCTTTTTAATGTTAAATCTGTTATCTTCAAACTCTTCCTTATTATTTGTTCTTTTAATTGCTAATTAATAATTTCTTTGCTTTTTCTTAAAATAGTTTATTTGAAATAAAACAAAATTTTCTGCAAAATATGTTCTAATAACATTACTTCATGGAAAAAATTATTTTTTAGTTGTTTATGTAACATGTATGTACATGTAATGTGTATGTATATATATAGTCTTGCTAATCTGGTCCTTAATAATCTGCCCTCTCATTTATCCAACGTACCCCACTGTGATAGCCTTCCATTCCATTCCTCATTTCCATTTTAATGAAAATGTTACTCATGTCACGTATCTTGTTTTCTTGTTTACTCAGGTGCCATATCGTTTCCCACCCTTCTCAAAAAATAAAAAAAAAATCAGTATTGAAGAGCAACAGGTCATGTTACTCATTGCATTTAGGTTTATACACTCTCAGTAATCCTGCATCTATTGTGCAAGGGATGGTTAGAATAGAAAGAATCTACTGCGTGTATATATATATATACTCACTAAACTTTTGCTAATCTAGCTATTTTGTTAATGTTTACATCAAAGAGATTCTTATATATATAACAATTTCCTTGATGTAAAACAATAAATCAATTTGCACATAGTAAGATTTGATTAGATACAGAAAATATGAACTTAAGACTGAAAATTGAATCACAATAATCAAATTACATATTTTTAAATAAAAGATTTTAATCTTTTGACTTTAGAATTTAATTTTTACTTAATAATTTTCCATATTTTTAACAAAAAAGAAAATTTACTAATTAAAGGCAAATGATAAAAATGAAGGAATTCAATAAATCTACATCATAATCTATAATTTATCTACCAAAGAGTTGAGATATACATTTGTTATTAAAAGGTAAATAAAATAATAGGAAAAAGTTATTGTCTAATCTTAAGGGACCTCAGCATATTCTATAGTAACATAGTAACTTTAAAGAAACATTGCTGGCTAGTTTCCATACTATTTGTAAACAAATATACTGTATAGTACTAGAAATTTTCCTGTCAAGCATGACAGACTATTTTCTGTGAGAAAGTAAAGATTGAAGAATTGAGAAGAGTAAAGGTTTCAAGAAATTCAAAAAGAGTAGCTAATATTTCTACAAATTAAATAGCTCATACAATTGATGTGTTATAATACATTTTAAATAACAAATCATTACTTCCAATTGGATAATAGAACATCACATGGTCATTATGGAATGTTTTAAAAAATTATTGTAGAAGTGACACAGTGTGGCTATCTTTTTTAAAGTTTAAATTTTAAATTTAATAAAGTAAGTTTAAAATACACCATTTGCCAAAATATTTAAAAATGCAACTTAAAGGAAATTTCCTCATCAAACACAAACTAAATGAGGTCACTGAGTCACTGTAATGTAAGTGCGATCATCAATTCCAAATCGATAAAATGTTTGTTCTATAGCTAATATTTCTGCAAAATAAATAGTCTATACTTTCTGTCAGAACTTAAAACAAATATAACCAAGATTTCATCTAAATTAGACAAAAATTGTAGCAAGAGTTATAAGGAATTTTCAAGCACACACACACACAACAGCTTTTATATTATTAATATCATATACAAACACACGTTTTTAACTCTTTAAAACACAAAATCATCTTAATCCATTCAAAACAAAATCAGCCAAAGGGAATATTGTTTGACTGTTTTATTATACAAATTTTTCTTGTAGTCTGAAAGGTAAAACAGTTTCATCTCCAAGTATATAGAAAAAACAAATTTTCACAGCTTAAAGAGTTAATTTAGAAGGAAAAAGTATCAATATAAACTGAAAAATTTTGGCAGATTTCATAGTCAAATTTTGCTATGTTTTAATCTCAATTTTTTTGCTTTTAGTTCTAGTGTCTTGATTTCTATTCAAAAAATTTTTATCCAAACTCACAGTCTTAAGTTCATAACTTAAGATATTTATTTTTATATACAGGCTTAAAAAATATGATAAAAATCTTACTTCATTACACACACACTAATTTTTACTCTTAAATATATGAAAATGAATTTCAGATTAAAAAAAATAATAATAAAACTAAAAATTCATAAGCAGAGACAGAATTAATAAGGCATTCATTGAATTTAGATACATTAATACTTTTGGTAGGAAATTTAAAATCCATGGTTGCTGTACTATAAGAAGAATCTTAAATTTATTTAGAAATCTTGATTCTTAATTAAAATTTCCTATTTGTAAATGCTATGTTTTATCATATATAAAAAAAATATATATTAAATATTTAGTTAAAAGCAAAATATTTTACAGTAAGATCTTTCAAAATTTGCTATAGCTCTTTTACTGTAATTAATGAAACATGACACCTATACTAAAACTAAATTTTCTAAATCCAAATATAATCTAATCTTTAGTTAACAACATTACATAAATAGACGTTATCTTTACTGTAGAAATAAATAGATTATTTAATCCTAAAAACAATTTTTTATCTATTTCTTTCATCTTCAGAAACTAAAATTAATTCAACTATTATAGTTATAAATATAAATTCAAACTTATTTATAAATAAAACTTTGTATTGTTATTTATTTTCAAACAAACAAATTAGATATTTATTAGTTTAAAAAAATTCTAAACTCCAATATATCTGAATTTATATGAATACTCCTATAAACAAATTGAAAATGCTTTAAAAATGTAATAGTTGAAATGTTTTGAAACAAGTAAATTCTAATTCTAAATACGTAAAAATAATTAAAACATAAATAAATATTAAGTAATTCATAAACTATCAACTATAATATAATATTCAAATATTTTTAATCCTTCATAACAAAATTTTATATTATAACACATTAAATAATTTTGATATGTTTAAACATTGCGTAACAATAAAACAGCTGACTAAAATTTTAAAATAATTTTCAACCTTCACTCTTAAATGTTAAATTTTAATATTTTTTTCTCTATTAGTCATTTATTCAATTTTTTAATTAGTTAATTTTTCATTTTATTCTTTCTTTTTAGCAATAAAGATTTCTAAATATGGAAAATATTTTTGATTGTAAATGAAAATTTTTGGCTTCTTTCCAATTTGTTTTAATATTACATGTATGCTGTTTTCATTAACATTTTATGTAATTCTATTTTTCTATAAATCATTTAAATATCAGCTAATTTAGAGTTACTCAGCTCAACAGTTAATTACATTAATCACCAGAAATCTGACATCGGGTTGGTTTTACATCTTATAATAATATGTGGCTATGCATATAAAACTGTGAGATTTATTCAGGTAAGAGGATTGAGGTAACAATGCTCTCTAAAATACTGAGAATGAATTCATTTGTATCTAATTCATCACAATAATCCTCTTAAGTTAGTATATTGCATTATGATCTTCTCATGCATTTACAATACTTTTGATCTTACTTTTAGTCAACTTTTTTCATGTCTACAGATTGAGAAAGGTGACAATAAAAACAAAGTTAAAAGGAATTGAACTTAAACTGCTAAGACAACGACAACAGCTCTCTCCAGAAATTAGTCTCTCAGTTTCAATTGACTTTTAGAAAATTAAAATATCTATTCATCAATAAAATTTTGCATTTATTGGCTATTGTTACAGGAAAAGGTCTCTTATAGGTTTGATAAGATATTTAAGTTTTCAAAGTTTAAATATTTTTAATTTCACATTCTTTCCACTCTTACAATATATAAAATCCTCTAACAAAAAAAAAATGAGAACTTTATTTTATAAGAATCAATTTCACTTTTATAAAAAGTGAAATTGATTCTTATAAGATAAAATTCATTTTGCTGCAAATGTATAATAGGATTACAATTTCTATATTCTGTGGGAACTGTCACATTTTACAGCCCTATTTGTTCGACATAAAATTCCATTTCAACTATAACAAATTATAGCTGTTTCAAAGTTGAATGGAAATATAGTAGTCTGGAATCTCACATATTACATAATACAAGTAATAACTTTTTCATTCTTATCTCCTCTGACAAACTAAGTATAAAGTGATATAGCTAGCCTGTTATGTTTCTAGAATTTTTTTAATTCATAAATTAAAAACCATTTTTAAATAAGATCATGTTACTTGCTTGCTTCTTACAATATATATAAATTCATTTTTTAAATTAATCTTTAATTTATTGAATATACAATACGGTACATATAATTCTTCTTTTATATAGTGTTCAAACATATCAACATTCTTTAAATTTTCAGATTTTCAAAACATGTTATATATATTTTTATATATATATATAACATGTTTTTTTATATAATATTTTTTATATAACATATTTATATGACATTTTTTATATAACATTTTTATATATATTTCTTCTTGAATTATAGTAAATTTAATATACTTTTAATATTAAAAAATATATTTCTATCAAAATTCTAAATGAGTAAAACACTAACTTTATAAAACATCTGAAAATAAAATAATTTGAAAACATCTAAGAGTTAAATTAATTTTCTGCTTTTACAATAAACAGATAGCAACGTTTAGATTTTTATCAAAATTATCATATAATTAGTATTCTAAGAGTTATTTCATTAATTTTCCCATCATCAGTGAAAAATTATTCTCATAATTTGAATAATCTACCGTATTTTTCTCAAAATTTGACTGTTATTTCAAAATATACATTTAAAAGCACAGTTTATACTCTTATTTTTCTACATAGTTTTCAAGATGGGCCAAACATTTCTTCTATCATGGCACAAGTTTTTGGATACTAGTCTCATGGAACATGTCTGGTTGCTTATGTAGCCACAGTCAAACTGCTATCTTCACATCACCACTACTTTGAAAGTGGTAATCTGCTAATTCTTTTTTGAAGGGATAAAAATAGTTATAATCACAAGACGTCAAATTCAGATTATGTGGTGGATGATGAAAAATGATGATCTGGGCATTATAGATGCTCATCATTCTGTTTCTGAACTTTTCACACCACTGATTCACACCACATCACAACAGACAACTATCTCCATACAAAGCACATATTTTTCAATAAATTTGCTTGTATTCTTGCAAGATGTTCACAATAATCAAATTAATTTTTGTGTTCCTTCAATGACTGTAACAAAACAAATTATTATAGAGATAGTCATGATGGAATCTTTTCTTGCTTTAAGAAGACTTGACTTATCCAAAAGCTACAAACTGTAAACATGCATTTGGACTGGACAATTTCAGGAAAATATAATACAGTGGTACCTCAGGATACGAACGCCCCAGCATACGAAATTTTCAGGATA